ACCGTTGCTATTCAACATTGTTCTCTCCGAAAACCATCGTTAGATTTGTCTTATTTTATACACCAAGAAGACACTTGGGGGAGTGGGTGTTTGACTCTGATCGCCTTCACGTGGTACCATCTGCATTCATCTCGTAATATAAATATCCAGTCATGATGCCAAAGATCAGATATCAGCAGACATCTAGGGTAGATGGCCGAACACCAGACGCCCTCTATCTGTCCAAACCCAAAGCCTCTTTCAGGGCTAACGCAGAACTTGTTTCGATTACGAAAGAAGCTAAATATTGCCACCTTGAACTGTCAGTTCCTGACAGGTGAAGACACGCAAGTTGTAGTTACCCGAATCTTGAACAGTCTAAACGCACCGATCGCCTGTCTCCAAAAAACGTAATTAAAGAAAGATTAAATCACAAAAATGTGCCATCCTGATGGTCAGGCATCCCATTATTCGAAGCGAAGGCCAAAGAAGGTGCATGTGGTTGCGCAGTGGGAGTCAACTCAGAAGTCGAAGGGAGCTGTAGAAGAATGGAGACCAATTAGCTCAAGCTTATGCTGTGTGAAGGAACATCTCGCGAAGTCATTTAGAAAAACATGGATTATAGTCGCCCACGCGCCTACGAATAATAAAGATGAAGAAGGAATGAACGACAGGCTTGAATAATTACTTGTTGCCATACCTTCGAACAAGCTTGCAATGCTTGGAATCGACACCAGTGCTCAATTCGGCAAAGGCAAAACGCATGTCGCACTGGGGAAATGGTTCCTGCCGGCAAAAACGACCACAGAAAATGGATCATGATCCTCAACCTCGCCGAATGATCCCGCCTGGCAATTGCGACGACCCTGAAGCGAAATCGACGCTCATAAAGACCAACATAGTTACAGCTACAGTTGGATTACACACTCATACGCGACCATTCAAAGCACATCGTAAGGTGGCATGAAAGTATCTGGAGATGCGCTTGTCTGTGCCGGTGATCTTAACGACAGCGTTGAAAGTTACTGCCGAAAACTAGAAGACGATGTCAAGGGCTTCGTATGGCATCATTATAGGAAAATTCAAATATCCGGAGAAAATCTACAATGATCTTCAATCAAACACAGGAAAGGAATTGGCCTATGAATTACAGTGATTTCAACAACTGTTTATTGACTGCCGCTAACGAAAGTATTCCACTACTGGAGAGAACGTACCTGTCAATCGCTGGGAGTAAGGGCCGCAAAACTGCTGGTGAAGGCACGGGAAACAAAAAAACTAAGGCACTGGCGAAAGAGAAGGAAATCGAACTAAAATGTCATCTGACTGAAGAATGGATCCACCGTGGCTAAAACGAGCTGTTGTGACGGAAAAAGGCTTCAAATACAATAACCTTAGCAAATAATGCTAACGACGTTGCAGTTATTGCAATAAATCCGGAAGAACTTCGAAAAGTATTGACGGCAATAGAAAAAGCTAGCTTCTACTAGGGGTTGAGACTGTAACCATCGAAATGCGAAGTCTTTGTTTCACGGTATGTCCCAGAAGATGTCAACAGAGTGAAAAGTCATGGAAAAGATGTGCAGCACGTCACGAATCTTGGTTCGACGATCACCAGTGAAGGAAACTGTGAACGTGATGTGCAAGAAAGAATCAGAAAGGATGGGATTGCATGTAACATGCTGTAGGAAGAAGTGTGGAAAGTGCTGTCACTACTTCAGTGAAAGCCCCGTGTAGCTCACAACTGTTCGATCAGTACTAATGCATGCC